ACATAACAAGCAAAGATAAAAATAGATAAGGAAATAGTAGACTAATCAGTCAGTTATGTGGTGTCATTAATACATTATCTAAAATATGTTAGATCAAAAAAGTTTATTTATGCATATATTCACTGAGAAGGTCGCAATACTTGTAAATTAATTCCTAAGAAGGAGTCATACTTTCCGAAGAGCATAGTATCAGCGTAGAGATGTACAAATATATCGGGTAGTTTCCAGATAATGAAAAAGCATGAGTTACAAATTAATAAATATTTCTAAGGCCACTGTTAATGAGAAACTTGTTTCAGCTCCGCACGAGATCCATCTGATCATGCGGGCGCGGCGGCATCTCATCATCTTATAATTTTGTGACGTATCAGAAGCAAATTTAGTTGATTCATAACAAATAATAATCCATCAAATTTGAGATAAGAACATGCTAGACGAAGAAAAGGTCCTATTTCCAAGGTTCTAACTACCGTCTACGGGTGTTGAATGACCCATCCAATGACTAGAGTGGACTTACTGACGTCTCAACGCACCTGAATGCACTCTTAATGTGAAAATTATATTATGATTGTCGAATCAAGCTCTTTGATTAGCAGTCTCGGTATAGTGTAATATCCAAGATAAAGAATCAATAAATAGTTTAAGTGGCCCAGCTAGCGTGACTTATGGAACATCACTTTATTGCCGATTTTGCCATTCTTGACTGTTTTGACATACTCTATGCAATAATATGAAATTATGCATTATTCTAGAACCATGAACTAATATAAAAACGCTGATGCTGCTAGATATGCACAATTGTAATCATTTCACAAGTGTTTTATTGAAGGTAAATAAACATATTCATAGAAATGTTGTATTTACCGTAGTAAAGGTGATAACAAGATGGTTATTCCAGTTGGAAACCATCAGTTGACCAGTAATGGGATATCGGAGTACCAATCCATGAGGATGAGATAATAAATGATAGTGAATAGACCAACAGTACTTCTCAGACCTAGACAGAAGTACAATTCTGTGTTTACCACCAAGAGCGATAACAACATTCTTGTCTGTACACGATATATCATTTGCCCAATTTAGTCTCGCTGGATCTTTAACAGACATGTTTCAACAAGAAGTAATAGCTGAAGTTTTAGTAAGATACAATTCACTCAAGCTAAATGGTCTTAAAGTAAAACTTTTTCTTAACAAATGAAAAGTTATATTTTGTTGTAACATAATTTGAAGTTTGTAAAGATTCTACTTCTAAGTTTCATTTTAAGGACTGAATTATACAAACATTAACAAATTATAAATTAAAGCACTGTATTGAATTTATTATATTAAATTGAAAATAAATAAAAATGGAAAAATCGACATTAAAAGTCATTTCCTTAACTTTAAGATTAGTTTTGATTTTGTGGATTATTAAATAGCTGTTTATATTGCTCTATTTCTTTAATCATCTGTTCTTTCTCATTTTCCAACTTTAGTTTCTCTCTTTGCATGTTCACAATATCTAATTTATCTTCTTCATCACTCTCCTTTTTCTTATCACGCATTCGTTTTGCAGCCATATTGTTTCGGCCTTGGTAGCGCATCTTTCTGATTGTTTTCTGTTCGCTAGCAGTGAAGAAGCTGGATGATAAAATTCTATTTAATTCTTTCCCTGAAATTTCATATGCAACTTTGTCTTTATCAACAAATTTTAAGAAGCTGCGCTTAAGAAAGAGTATTTTCCAATTTTGATTTAATATTAATTCCGATTCTAGACACTTACTCAAAAGGTACATTGTATCAGCTTCATGTTGTGTAATGGCAATACCGAATGATTTGAGGTATAACTCATTGGGGGAAGTATGAATAGGTTGAGGCGATATCAAGACTGAAGGTGGATGGCTAGGGGAAGGGCTTAACTGAGGTAGTTGGTCATAGTAGTTCGGAGGATAATAATTGGGAGGAGTTATCTGAAATGATAAAGGGTCAATCATATTGCCCGCCTGTTTCATGTTGTAAGCACACATTGTAGTATATTTCTATTTAGTATTTGTATTCTTAATAAATTTCTAATTTATGATCTCTTTCATAGATGGAGGGAATGATACAACGTAATTTTGAGAAATTAATTGTGAGCATTTACTACAAAATTCAAAGGAGTTTCAGTTCCAACATAATCAATAATAAATTGAATTAGTTAAATATATACTGTAACGTACATACGTCACTCAGCAACTGTTAGATAGATTAATATCAGTAATTCAATTTGTTTATTGATTATAATCCACATTAGGAGAAGCACTAACTTGTTTGTTCCACTTAAAACTGATCTCAAAGCTTTTTAGCAAATATTCTTCAATCCTGTCTTACATATAAACATTTTCAAACAGTTGGTAACTGGCAATTATTGCATAACAAGGTGTTAATATAATTTAACAAATATTAAAGGTTGGAGTATCTATTTGGTAAATTGAATATTTAGTGTAATTTACAATCTGTCCTCATAAGAAGGAATTTGGATACATTTTACGTTTAATTAGATTAACAAAAGAAATCATGTATGAATAACAAATTTTATTCCTCAATGGCTGAATTGTAATGACGTGTGAATAATTAACACAAATTTGTTATTCACTAATTTCAATGAAATCCAATATGAAATAGTTACAAAGGCTATATAATAACAGAATAGTACTATTCTAATGAGTGTTGTATCTATTGCGTGTAACAGTATACTTGTAGATCCCATGGCTCACGTAGTACAGAGAACTGGAGATTAAATTATGATTTACAGAATGCGAGCCTTTTGCTCGTCGCTTCGCGATGAACTCGGCGCATTACGCCTCGATGTATCCATTATTCTCCAAATTGAAGGCCCCCTTTGAGTATTATAAAATAGATATATGACATATAAGTTATTGAGTTATTTTGTAAGATCAACACCCTTTGTAGCCGTATAGGGCAAGTATCTACGTAAATTGAGAGATTTTGCTTATTTGTTTACTTTATATTCATAAAAACAACAATACATTTACATATGATTAATCCAAAAGTGTGAAAATCGGATTCATCATATTCGATATATTTAGTGAAGTTTTATTGAATTCTATTTACTTCCTTTATAAACACGATAAATACATAGTGATGCGACAATTTCAAAATTGCATACCGTAATCCTTTCCTTGACAACGGACAAACAAACAAACAAACAACAGTTAAGATTTAATAATATAGATATATTATGTTAGAGATTGTGGGGAATGTAATACCGAAAAATACTGTTAGCCGCTACCTCTCCAATTTATGAGAAACAATTCAACTAATTGAACTCATATCCAGAAGAAGAGGAACACAGAAGAAAGACATAATCCTATATTTACTGTTGTAACGTATATTATATACACAGAATAAGATAATTAATATCGGAAACAAAAGTTAGATAATAACATATTGATTACATAGGCTTATCCAGGAATTTCTGGGCTGCACTGTTTTGTTCTAATCTTGCTGTCTCAGACTCCGAGTACTTTTACAGCCGAAATTCACTGTTCGCGGACTTGGTACCTAATTAGGTCCGATGGTCCCGCAGTCTATCTCTGATTGCTGCAGGACTGGTATTATAAGGCACAGACTACCAAATTCCTGGGTAAAAGCTCATTTCAATATCTACTTGGAATACATTGTACAGTCTATTTGTACATCTAGTTGCCCAGCAATATCAGGCCTTGCCTAGCAATTTCAATGTTTCCGCCATGTCCAGATAGATATTAATAAAATGAATGAGAACTAATTTTTTGATTTGAAAGAATAAATACTTATTAACAGAGTCAGGGGTTTATCGATGTGCTTGGCGAGCATCTAAAAGTGCCAATTCAGCATCCAGGATTATGAATTACACAAAGTGCACCATGAGGCTCAATTAGTATAGGATCAATATGTTACCCTTTCATAATTGTGCCATCCTATTTGAGGCATTAAAAAACCTTATGCGATGCGTTGCCTAACTCTTATTCTACAGTCGAATATGGATTTCTAAGGTAGTTTAGATATCCTCCCCTCCAAACATGCGACTAGCGTCTCAAAATGCCCGAAAACAACATCCAGGCAGGTAGCAACTAATATAGAGAGAATAGAGCGACGCGTCGAATAAGGATTTTTAATATATGCCCATTTGAGTCCCTGCAAGAAAAGGCAAGAATTTCCTAGATAACCTCTGAACAGATAGTATGTTTTTTGTCCGAGTTCTACTCTAGGGATATAGGCAAATTATAATGAATCTAATATTATCTAGCCAACTGAATTCAATTATTTTGGCAACTGAACTAAAAATTCAATTATAGCTGGATTAAAGCTGAGAAGGCGCAACGCCTGAGGACGGATATGTGGATGTAGTGAAGTACCCGATGTGTCTGAGTATATGAATCCACACTCTACAAAGGGAAATGTAGAAATGATACCAATATATAGGGCGCATAATTTTAACCATTTGTCAAATTAATTGCTTTGTTTGCCAAAATAATTGAATTCATTTGCCAAGTAATGGTGCATCCAAATTATAATTCGTCAATCCAATCCTACTATTCTAATCTCTTGTAATTAGTCATTATAACCAATTTCATGCAAGTGTAGGTGCTGGATATAAGAACCACAACTTGAATTACTGAATCTTTTGTATTCTACTCCATTGAATTTTTTCTTTTTCTTTAATATGGTTTCTACACCCAAATGTGTTTAAATGAAGTGTTTTCATAACCAACATCTACTATATACTACATACCGGCTATAAGAACATACCGGTTATAAGAACATACCGGTTATGAGAACATACCGGTTACGAGAACATTATGTCCAGTTCCCGACGATGTTCTTATAATCGGCATTCAATGTATCAATTTTCAACCAAAATGTATATTAATTGAATACATTAAAAGCAACCATAATATTATAAGAGCATATCGAGTGCAGTATATATAATCTTTGTGTAGAATAGTCAAATAAGGAGGCTTAGCTTGTTGCTACTTCAGAATAACCAAGTGGTCTAAGGTGATTGTCTCAAGAACAATAGTATTTATTACACGTAGGTTCGAATCCTGCTTCTGCTTTCTCTGCAACAAGCGCTATCCTTCTTTTGAATCACAAAACTTACAAGCAATAGTGCATTATCAAATATCAGGCGTATCTAATTATTAAAGACAGTGAAATAGTTTCCAAAAGGAAATGCTATTAAATCTCCTAAATACTCTCCACAGTTAAATCTACAAAATATTGTAATTCCTCCCCTAAAGTAGAGATCCTATACAAGCAATAGTGCTCTGTGTGGAAGTTTAATAAGGGTTCACTTGCTTTTGGATATACAGTAGAACTCGGATAAGACGTACTATTTCTTACATCCCAAAATATAAGTCATCATTATTTGTAATGCAAACATATTCGGATAAGACGTACTAATTTCTGTTTCCCGAGGGGTACGTCTTATCCGAGTTCTACTGTACATTCGAAATAACATTCCAAATCCACATTCCTTGACAACGAATCAACAGACAGACAATAATTGCAAATAAATAATAAGATTATAGCTTAGCTGAAATTTAATTAACAATTTCAGTGAATGACATAATTGCCCCCGACCCTCACAAACATAATCCCCGTCTGATGGCCCAAAACCTGAAAGGGGGCCATGATAGTTTGGCCACATCAGGATCGACGCCTATAGTCACAGTATTTAAGAAAGTTGATGATTCTAAGAAGTTGTAGTGAAATAATATTTTGGTTTCCATCCCCTATAACCTTGTGACAACTTCCAACAATCAGGAAAATTATCACTGCTTACAAATTGGAAACCTAGAGATACATACAGTGCAATGGACGGTCAAAACTTGTTCGCTTTATCTGGAGTTCGTATTAAAGTATAAGCTATCGATTATATAATTAATTTTTAAGTAAATCGCACTATATGAGAGGAGATTTGCAACCTTTTGCTCGATACGCTAGCAGCAAACTATCAAAAATATAACCGATATCGTAAGAAAACTCTTAATCTTTCACAAGTTAACTATCTCATAATTAATTTGTCGTAACGAATTAATTAATGTAAAGACACCTCGAGGTAGACAGGAGGTAAATGAGGAAGGAATAATAATTAAAATTATTCACAAATTGGTAAGCTATTACAAATAATATTAAATTCTATGAATGAACTTAACAACAAACAAACACGAGTTTGAATCTCGCGGGAGAACTTTGTTACAAAAGACAGATAATATTTCTTAGAAACTGCTTAATAGACACAAATGCTATTACACAAGAGACTGTACTAGCTATAAGCTGTCCTGTCCTATAAGTAATGATATTCTATCTGTTTAAGTAATTATAAACTAATATCAAGAGATTTACTCAACTATGGCTGAACGTTATCCAGAAATTGAAGCTCCCATAGTCATGGACCCGACAGAGGCACGTATCAATCAACTGTTTGATCAGCTGGTACTCTGTCTCAACACAAGACGGGTTGAGCTAATTAGAGAGTTCCGAGAGAAACGGGAAGGGAGAAGGGCTACGACAAGTGGACGTGAACAAACTATTCGTCAGCTCCAGGAATCGAAAGCAAATCTACAATCCCAGATAGAAGAGAATATACTCCACTCCATGAGAGAGAGGATGATTGAGGAGATGGACGATAAGATGAGAGAGCTGCAGGTTACTGTGAGGGAGACAGAGGTGCTGTTTCAGTACGATGCACAACAGATAGAGAAGAATATCTCTGTGTTAGGTCAGCTGATAGAGAGGGATATCATCCAGACACCAAACTACTCAGCTCTTCAACAACCTAGCATATCTGTCGGGAAGGAAGGAACAGATGAGGGAGAACTTAAATATGCTTTTGGAGTAGTATTCGATGAGAACACACAACTCATCTACCTACTACATGGTTATATTCTATGTAGTATAAGTGTATTCTCTGTTACAGGAGAATTCATTAAAACAGTGTGTAAGGGAATGTTTATGTTTCCAGGAGACATGGATATGAGTGGGGAGGATGTATACGTCAGTGATTTCTTGTCCGATTCCATATATATATATCATTCTAAGTTACCAGACTTCTATTTGGTAACTAAAGTAGGTAAGAAGGGAAATGGTGTAGGAGAGTTTAATCATCCATATGGCCTCGCTGTATCAACTGATGGATCTGTGTTCGTAGCAGATAAAAATAACCACAGGATAGCAGTGATGAAAGTTTACCTAAAACACCAACATTACATCACACATTACACCATGACAGAGCCACAAGATGTTAAACTACTTGATGGGTTCATTGTATGTCTTGAGTAGTACTGACAACCCGTGTCTACACGTGTTCTCTCCAGCTGGTGAGAAGCTACGCTCTTTTATCACATGTAGTGAGCAGGGTAATGCACAAGATGAAGGACCAAACACATTCTGTTTCGATGAGAAACAGAACATTCAGATCGGAGACGTAATAGATAGAAATATCAAAGTATTCTCTCTAGATGGAGATCTACTTCACACACTGGGAGATACACAAGATGATGACAAGAGAATTGTCCCTAACGGAATAGTAGTAACCAACAGTAACAAGATTATTTGTAGTTCTTTAGGTACTAATTTTGGGTTACACATTTTTAGTCAACGAACTCGTGAAATATTATTAATTTTGAATTAATGATTTTCTAGAAATATTAATAAGATCTAGCCAGTAAAATTCATTATCTTAATTAGACCACGGTTCCTTCCCATTCACAGCCATCTTCTTTAAACGGACATTTTGCTGATAATTTCCCGATTAGTCTACTTTTCGTCTCGTCAAGTTTACCTTTCTCACCATCCATCATGCATTCCTTACACCTATAACCGTTGCCAAGGTGTTGTGGATCTCGTAATATGCCTTCCCATTCAGTACAGGATAATGTTTCTGATTCTATAAGGGAGAGCTCTTGAGTTAGGAGACTAGGATTGTAACCACCGAGACAGCCAAGTTTCTGATCGCGAATACAGAAATTAACAATTTTATCAATTGTCTCAGACATCAAAGTACCTTACTATAGGAAATTAACGCGATTGATAGGGAGAACATTTGTATATACACTATTTTATGCGAATAAATATTAAGAAATTATTCAATTTTCTAAACATAAAAAGAAATAATCCAGTCCACTTGATAGACATGGTATCCTCTCAAACCAGTCACGCATTGGAGAACATGTAAATTGGGAGTTTGCCCATCCATTGTAGAAATTTGCTAAATAGTATAAATTGCAGGAAATTAACGCGAATTGGAGCATTCGCGTTAATTTCCTATAGTAAAGTATAAGCTATTGATTATATAATTAATTTTTAAGTAAATTGCACTATACGAGAGGAGATTTGTAACCTTTTTGCTCGATACGCTAGCAGCAAACTATCAAAATATAAACTATATCGTAAATCTTATTCTTTCACAAGTTAATCGTTTGTCATATTAACGAGAGTCTACTGTGCACCCTATCCACGGTTGAAAATTTGGGAGCCACTAGCATAGAGTCAGTGTTTGTCAGAAAAGGTCACACCAGAAAAAGGGCGGTTTTTTCCGAACACTGCATTGAGTATACATTTTGGATTACTAAATGACAGTATAGTCAATTTTCATACGCCTTGAGAAACTGAGATAAAGAATATTCCAAGAGGATAATATATTTTCAAAATATAATAATTTAATAGAATAAAATAAGAGATATGAAAAAGTGAAAAACTATTCAATTCACAAAATTGTTAAAATCAAAATACTTAACAAGAAGTAAAATATTTTATAATACAACCTACAATAGCGATTACAACAAGTAAGATTATTATACTAAACATAATGGCTATTACTAATCCAACAATTTTACATTCACCTTTAGCTCCCATACTCTGAGACATTGCAAAAGGTGAACCTGATGAAGTGTCAGGAGATTGAATACAAGATGCAAAACTATTCGCTTTCACACCTTCTGATCTAAATCCAAGTACTGCCAAACAGCAACATACTGAACAGGCACACACAATGCAACTGATTAGGAGTAGTCCAGTGATTGAAGCAGAAACTATAAGAATAATCCTCAAAATATCACAGACCTAGAGTGAATCAAAAGATAGAATATTGCAGATTTGGTGAATGTAAATTTGATACGAATAGAGTTGCGGCGGTCCGAACCAGACCGCGGTCACAACAGACCTGTCTAGGCCAAACAAATTCAACAGTATTAGCGCCATTTAGTTAACGAGTAAATTTGTAAACATTAACATAATTGCTGTTTTGACAATAATCAGTAATAACATACCTCCATTACACTATCCATACTCCAGATTGTGTATTTAATACTAATTAAATGAGTATAGAGAAGGTAATTACCTAAAGTACAGAAGCTATCAAATTAGATAGATAGAATAGTAGAAGAGAAACATATATTATTCAATTACATATAGAGCAGTTTTCTCAACCTGTGGTCACAGAGATATTTTATGAACTTTTGATCAAGTAACTCAAGTTGAAGAAGGTTAAAGCCCCATAACCAATTTGACCAAATGCTATGACCAAACTTGACTAATCACGTCGACCTGGGCGTGGTCATAATATACATTTCTAAAAAGTGTTGCTATAGCCCATGAGAGTTTCAGAACCCTTGCTATAGAGCACACCTAGTATTCTGATACACTATGACAATTGAACTGACTCATGCCCTATTATGTGCACGGCAAGCTAAGCAAAGAATTGCCAAAATAATTCTAGGCCATTGATTATATTTCTTTGATCATGAAGAATTGCATTTATCATTACAAATTCTACTATAAATATGTTCAATTCGGGGCTTTCTTGTTTTGTTGAGAATCTGATATTTATATGTTGTTCACAATATCATATTCGGAATCAGCATACTCGATTACTTCAGTACAATTTTGTTTTGTTGTTGTTATGCTGTGTAATATTTGGTTCTGGACTTTATGAACTGGTCCTATGTTTTCTATATGGGAGCGTGGACAGACAGACACAAATTGAAAATTAATAATATAGATATACCTACGTCTATGAAATCAATATTAAATACGAAGATATTTAAATTGTA